CAATATTGCATGTCCACGTACTTATTAGTGAGTAGCTAATCATTATGGCAAAATAAACTATTTCAGTGTAATAGAAGGCCCTTTAAAATCCTTTTTACACACCTCAGCAAGAGCTAAAACGTTTCATAGAAGAGGCTATTGAAATGCTTTGGTTGGAGGGAAAACTAGCAGTACTTCTCTGAGCCATCGGAAACATGAAAAACAAGGAAGATGCTCAAGGAAAACAGAATGAGAGCGATAAATAGACAGAAAGGCTGTCAGTCTGATTAACTGAACCATCCCTCCCTTGGTTGCAGGAACAAAGACCTCCACAGTAGGAAAGAGATTAAGAATGGAGTTCAGTCCTGAATAAGAGATGGAATGCCTACTGCAGAGAAGAGCAAAAGACTGACATAATGCTTCTTTTATGTGTCAAGTGCCAATTAATCTCACACAGAACAGAAATACTGAATTCCTGAAAGGAACCTAATCTAATCTAATACAGTTGTAATTAATTGTAGTTTGCCAAATCTGGAGAGGTGTAGTCAGGTCATGTACTGAGAGGCAGGTTATGGAAGCCTGTCCTGTCGGGTTCAGGTTAAACATCTGCTCAGGTGCTTCAAAGGAACAGAGTTGAATGAAGACACCTCCCTACAGGCCTCATTATCCCGCTCTTGATTCACCACAGAACACAAGCTCGTCCGAGTGGAAGCATTATTCGCTTATTCTCATATCTCAGCACTTTTTTTCTTTTTCTTACCTCACTTTTTTTTTTTTTTTGCTAATCAGGAGCCAAATTATCAGGGTTCAGTATTTGTTAATTATATTTAAATGCTGTTGAGAAAGTATTTGGAATGACAAGAGGGTGAGCAATTTTTTTTCCCTTTAAGAAAGTGGTGAAAAGCAAAAACAAATATAATATTTCTAAAATCTATTATATGAAACATTCATAAAGTTATGGAGCATGTCCTCAACTTGAGAAAATAAATGCTATACCACACATGAATTAAATTTTTATCAGCGTATATGTTCCTCAATGCATATTTTGTACCTAAATGCAATATATTCGAATGAATGTAGGCCTATGCATGGTGGCATCAGCAATAGCCCACAAGCTCAAGTTACAACCAACATGAAAACTTGTCAACTAGCAGCTCGGGGGGCCAAAAACTGCCCTGTTAAGCATTCTTATACAACCCATCGATTGATTTCGATAAATCTCTGCTGCATTGCTAAATGCATCAGATAATCTCTGTGCAAATCTCAGCAGTGAGTTCTAAAGTCATCTATATTTGTCTGTTAGCAGACTTCAGTCCATAACCAGACCAAAGCGAGCACATGCTTGTTCTGTACAGCTACTCAGGTTTTATTTTAAATGAACTTCGGATATCATTATCCAACCAAATGTGTTTATGCAAATAGCATTGCGGCAGTGGAATGAAATACTAGCTACTTGCTGAGTACTGCAGAGTATTCTGCATACTTTTATATAAAAAACACATTATGCAACAATACACAAGTATTTTGCATTTCTCATAATAATTTGGTCAAGCATTTGTCAAAAGGATACATTAATGAGTCACAAAAAAGTGAGGTTAACGCTAAGATCTAGTTTATCCATCAAACTGGAAATGGAAGATCAAGTCAGCTGCATTGCATCATGGGACATAGCATTCCAAACTGTAAGCTGTTGTATAATGCACATTTTGCCAAATCTAGTAAGTATGCATACAGAAAACATATGTACTGTGCACAGTAAACATACTAGATATATCATAATAATAGTACACAAGTATGAACATAGCAACAAAACTTGGGTACTCTGATGCATTTTATATACTCCTACACTATTTTTTTTAGGTTACTGTCTTCAAATAAAACTGCTAATATACGATAATTACTCTGAAAAATGTTTGGCAAAGACTGTCTTCAAAGACTGCCAAAGGCACCTCTAACACACATTCACTCCATCTTTCTAATCACAGTTGTAAATTGTAAGCATTTGTTCCAATCATCAAGCATGGAAATACTCCCATTGGCTTGTCCTTAGTGGAAAGTACAGCAACAGAGAGCAAAAGAGGAGATCAAGCGCTGAGCTCAACTGTGTGCATGTATGATGAATGCGAGATGAGTGCTGTGGACTAAAGATGTCTAGCTCCCAAACACACATGCTGCACTCATCTACCAACACATCAGACACCCCACTGAGCATAAACGTACATATTTGTGCAAATCAGTGACAGATTATGATGTACACTCTCAGAAGAAAGGTGGAGCTCAGGTACAAAGCTGTCATTGGGGCAGTGCAAAAAAGCTAAAAGGAACATCTTTGTATCTTATTTACCCCTAAATGGTACATTCTAGCACATAAAAAGGCACGTATTAGTACTTTTAAAGTACATATCACTACATGAAGTGTACATATTAGAACTTTTGAGATGGTACCGCTCCACTGACAGTTTTTGCTGAGAGAGTATGTGTGTTTATTGGTATATTCACACTGGTTTCATGCTAAATCTTCAAACTGTGCCGAGACAAATAAGCTCTTTTATGTAACATTTTTTTTAAATTTGCTTCCTTTTCAGATTTAGCTGCGTCTCAAAGGCTTTGTGATCTCACTTTTGAGTCATCAATAAAACATACTCAAGTGGGTGGCATGTAAACTAAAGCCAATGTGCTCTACTCAAAACCAAGCTCTCACCTTCAACAAAAAAAGTTTGCATCTGAACCCAATTGCATTTAAGCCAATCCAGCATATAAATACACAGGCTTAAGTAAATTGTCATATGGTGTGTGGGTACAAAGATTCATATCTACTCTTGAGAAGGTCATCTTAATAATGAGGATTAACACATCTACAGCTACAGATCATACTTCACAGTGGAAATGCATGCATAAATAACACTGAAAAATAGTTATACAATCAGTTTATTAAAACAAAAACATGGTGTGCACATACACAAAAGAACACATGCACAGACAATGAGTGAAACCACTACAATGACTAAAAGAAGAACGAAAGCATTCATAATTTAAAGAACAAACACAAAAATCACTTTGAGGATGTATGATTTAATGATTTAAAACAATATCTGAATATACAAACACAACATTGAAATTTAATTTCAATTACATTGACATACAATGACAAGTAGAAAAACATTTTGCATGCAAATCATGGCTCTACGAGCCTATATAGATTCTACTCGATAGAGTTAAAAAATATGAAAGCATGCTGAGATTAAAGTAGGATATGTTTCTCCTAGCAACACTTAAGTTGATTGTTAAAACTCTTTTTTTGAGTATTTCAGGACATTCTGGAAGTAATGGCCAACAGGGGAAGGATAAATGTGAACTGAGAGCTTTTAGATGAGCTAACTGGAAAGTGCACTCTAATTGAAAAGTCATACAGATTATGGTGTCGTCAATCTGGTGAATAATTTAACAGAAGAGTGGTGGATTCAAAAAGATGACAAGTTTTTGATGATATAATATCAGTAGTATGTAAGAATAGTTTTACATTCTGTGCATCAGGGAGATGAAGAGAGTGTATGTGTGTGAGAAGCTGATGGTGTCGGGGCCTGAGGAAATGTACTTCATGCGGGCTGCAGAGGTAGTGACATTTATCAGCCCTGAGCTGAAGGGGCCACTTTACACGCATCTCTGACTGTCCGATAGAATAACGGCATGCTGACATGGAGAGGAACTGTGCGGTAGAAAAATCTCCTGGCTTTATCGTGGGTTCACCCTCGTACAAAGAACTCTAGGTACGGCAAAAAGGCTCTAGAGGAATGTCTTTAAATCTGTCAGATCAGGGGGGGTTTAATCATTATGACTTTCACAGTCACACTGCACACACTCACCAGTTCTTTCTTCTTCATGCACTCCATCAGAATGATGAAGAGATGCTGGGCCTGCGTCCGGCTGTATGTAAACGTCTTCTGAATGGTGACTAGTAACTGGTCTCTCAAAGATTCGTTTATGATTCTAACATGTAGTCAGAGAGAAAGATGAGACTGGGATATCACAGCAAATCATTTATGCAATGAAAACATTCCAACAGAGCGCAACAGCAGGTCTCCGGAAGGAAAAATCCCATTTGTTTTCTCCATACAAACTGCTTTCTAATGATAACATTAAAATCGCAATTAGAACAAAATCACAAAAGACCCACCACAGCTCACGTTGAACTTCTTCTTTTTTTTAATTAAACATCTAAAATAAATAAATAAATAAAATGTTTAACATCTAAATTCTCTATAAATAACTACGCTACCCTTAATTCTGAAGAGAAATTGTCCTTGGAGATCCTTGAAAAATGAGAACAGCAGCAAAATAGCTCCGCAGTAACCTCACAATATACTGCAAATGTCATAAGTTGGCCTTTTTGTATATTTTCAAATATATTTTGTCTGTTTAAATGTTTTACAGTAACTGATAAACATTAGGGCCATGAACCAACTAAAAATTTTGTATAAATGTAAATATTTTGCATTAAATGGGGAAGATTTGGTCTGTGAATTGACAGAAATTTTAACTAAATACTCACACAGGTTTCTGAGATGAATTGTGATTATGTTAAGTTAATTTAAGTAAAGTTCATCGATCAAATACAATATCATTAATTTATTTGTATATTTTGCTGTAAATGCTAAAAACGTAAAGGTGTTAGGTGTGTTTAATTGTAATTAATAACACATTGAAACATTGACATTTTAAATCATCAATATATTCATACAAAGGAATTGGAGAAGTGAAATAAACTGATGTGATAATTATTTTGTATAATAAGTAACACAATTAACACACAATGTGTTAAATAATAATTATTAAAATTTTATTATTTTTAACATATAAAAACTGTTCAACATTAATTGCAGCAATCTGGCTTTATCGTGGGTTCACCCTCGTACAAAGAACTCTAGGTACGGCAAAAAGGCTCTAGAGGAATGTCTTTAAATCTGTCAGATCAGGGGGGGTTTAATCATTATGACTTTCACAGTCACACTGCACACACTCACCAGTTCTTTCTTCTTCATGCACTCCATCAGAATGATGAAGAGATGCTGGGCCTGCGTCCGGCTGTATGTAAACGTCTTCTGAATGGTGACTAGTAACTGGTCTCTCAAAGATTCGTTTATGATTCTAACATGTAGTCAGAGAGAAAGATGAGACTGGGATATCACAGCAAATCATTTATGCAATGAAAACATTCCAACAGAGCGCAACAGCAGGTCTCCGGAAGGAAAAATCCCATTTGTTTTCTCCATACAAACTGCTTTCTAATGATAACATTAAAATCGCAATTAGAACAAAATCACAAAAGACCCACCACAGCTCACGTTGAACTTCTTCTTTTTTTTAATTAAACATCTAAAATAAATAAATAAATAAAATGTTTAACATCTAAATTCTCTATAAATAACTACGCTACCCTTAATTCTGAAGAGAAATTGTCCTTGGAGATCCTTGAAAAATGAGAACAGCAGCAAAATAGCTCCGCAGTAACCTCACAATATACTGCAAATGTCATAAGTTGGCCTTTTTGTATATTTTCAAATATATTTTGTCTGTTTAAATGTTTTACAGTAACTGATAAACATTAGGGCCATGAACCAACTAAAAATTTTGTATAAATGTAAATATTTTGCATTAAATGGGGAAGATTTGGTCTGTGAATTGACAGAAATTTTAACTAAATACTCACACAGGTTTCTGAGATGAATTGTGATTATGTTAAGTTAATTTAAGTAAAGTTCATCGATCAAATACAATATCATTAATTTATTTGTATATTTTGCTGTAAATGCTAAAAACGTAAAGGTGTTAGGTGTGTTTAATTGTAATTAATAACACATTGAAACATTGACATTTTAAATCATCAATATATTCATACAAAGGAATTGGAGAAGTGAAATAAACTGATGTGATAATTATTTTGTATAATAAGTAACACAATTAACACACAATGTGTTAAATAATAATTATTAAAATTTTATTATTTTTAACATATAAAAACTGTTCAACATTAATAGCAGCAATCTAATATATATATATATATATATATATATATATAATCATTGGCTATAAATCAATAGTTCCATATTATTAAAAAAAAGAAAAAAAAAGTCAATTTTCCTATAATTTGCAGTGTTTTATGGGATGAGTAGTTCATTCAGTTTAGTTCATTAGAAAATAAAAAAAAAATATTTTCATTAAAAAACAACAACAACAACAACAACATTAGGCACATCTTGTCTTTATCTCCAATTCCACATTCCTTTTTGTAACTGACTGTAACATTTGTGATTAATCTCAGAGCTGGTTGGTTCGGTTCATGTCTTCGAAGTGCTTATGGAGAAAATAAATGCGGAAAAAACTGCTGAAAAAGTGGGTGCTTACTGTTGCGCTCTATTCTGTGCTACAGTTCAATCTTCATCTATATGTAAAAGAAAATTCATATCTTCTTGTACTGTTACAGTGGAGAGAGATAAAGCTCACATACCCGCCCTCCTCTGAGTACTTATGCCCAAAGGCCAGGATGTCAGAGGCACGACCGCTGCCGTCACACACCACCACGGGCACAGGAGGAGTGTCTCTCAGGTACTCAAGCACGATAGAGATCACATTAGGACCCCCCTCCACTATCAGAGCCACCACTGGAACACCCTGTCCGATCCCTGCGGAGAAAACAGAAACGTGAGCGAGAAAGGGTGTATGTGTGCGGCCGCGGGGCTGCTTGTTACAAGGAAAACCAATCAAAAAGATTAAAGGTGAAGTGTGCGCTTTTTTTCTCCTCTCCCAGTTTAATGTGCAGAGACAACTAAAGGTAAGCAATTCATATAGAGTGTAAACACTGTGCTGTGCTTATGTGGAGCTTTGTTTGTTTGAGCAGTCTGATATTTGTGTCTGACTTAACCAGTGGTGCGCATTTTGCTCAGCACTACCTATAATAAGCTATTTACAAGGAATTTATTGCTTTGAAGACAAGCAGAGTGGAAAGAGCAAAAGGGGTGCTGGGAGTGTTTGGAAAAACAATTATTACACACTTCACATTTAAAGTTGTGTTAGTTCACCCAAAAATTAAAATTCTGTTCTCATTTATTCAGCATTATGTTGTTCCAAACCTTTAAGGCTTTCTTTTTTTCTGTGGAATACAAAATAAGTTATTGTGAAGAATATTTCAACTGTTTTTGTTCTTGTAATGCAAGCTAGGGGGGAGCGGGTGCAAAGAAAGTATGTATGAGTAGGCAAAGTAGTCATTTTTGCATGAACTAAAGGAAAAGGAAAAGCATATAAAATAGAAGTTAGTCATTTTGGCATTCAGAGGAACAGATTATTCTGCTGAATGGCTGTTGTGACTGACCCTTTAGACATCCTTATCATAACCCAGTTGTGTCTGTCAACATAACACCCGACATCCACTTAACCACAATGAAGAGAAGATATTCCTCATGAGACACTCCACAGAGAGAGAAAGTGCTTCTATTTTCTAACGCAACACAGCAGAGCATCGTGACGCATCTGTTCATCACCAGTCTGTCTACATCACTTTCAACACAATGACGCATTCTCGTGCCTACTATTTTAGCTTCAAAATACATTTGCTGCCCATTAAATTACATCACATTTCAATTTTAAACTTAAATCAAACAGACTTATTGCATGAAATTATGAGTTATTGTAAATCCGTTACAAATAATATTTATGCCACAGCATTTACACTCTGCTTACATATGAAACAAACTCTCTCACTGGTGATGCTATAAATGATAAGAACAGTGTTTTAGACCGTTTCAAATTGATAACTTATTTTTCTGAACTACTCATAAGTTTAATTTTTGGAATCAAGCTACACTGGTCTTGCTTTATTCTTTTGATCCACTATAAAAACTGGTTGATAAGAGTCATTTATTTGTTAAGTATACTACACTGGTCATTTTTGCATGTAGCCTGACACTGTTCATGGGCAGTCATGGCCTAATGGATAGAGAGTTGGACTTGTAACCCGAAGGTTGCGGGTTCGAGTCTCAGGTCCGGCAGGGATTGTAGGTGGGGGGAGTGAATGATCAGCGCTCTCTTCTACCCACAATACCATGACTGAGGTGAGACCCTTGAGCAAGGCACCGAACCCCCAACTGCTCCCTGGGTGCCACAGCATTGGCTGCACACACACCAAGTGGGTTAAATGCAAAGCACAAATTCTGAGTATGGGTTGCCACACGTCCCTTCACCTGAAACTGTTCTTGCCATTATTTCAGAGTACACAGTGTTTTTAGTGCACATTGAAACGCAAATTTTATTCTGCTATGTAAGTACACACTGAACAATCAGATAGTTTCTGCATTCATTAATCAGCTGCAATTTTCAGCTCTTGGTTTAATTAACAGGTGTGCATGCATTGGGAGAGGACCTGTGAGAGAGCAACTGAACAGGACAAAGACAGATCAGTCCTACTTCTGTACTCTGACTCTTTCCTACAACTTGATGAGTACAAGTTATGATGTTGTGACTATAATTCAAAAAGCATGTTACACCCAGATCCTTCTACCATTGCTTAAATTATGCAAAGTGAGATAAAGAAAGAGGGAAGGAGGGAAAATGAAAGAAAGAGAGACAGACAGAGAGGTACACCAGATCCACATGTGCTGTCATCATTGTGCCTAAAATGGGTACGGTTACATAAAGTGTCTATTTTTAGCAGCACACTGACTTCAAAAGAAACTGCTGCTCAGCTGGTATAGAAATCAGAAACAGTGGGATTTACTTCTTCACTCCAAACCTCTTCCTCCCACTGTTATCTCTCCACGTCTCTTGTTTTCTCTCTTTATCATTTTCTGTTTTATTGAGGTAATATTTATTGATCAGCGAGCCGTAAATGACCTCAGGAGACCCTACTTTGATACACACAAAAGCCAAGCCTTGAAAAAAAATGATAGCACTCTAGAAGATATGACAGCAAGATGTGTGGACTCATCTCACAGCAATTTATTTATTTATTTCTCCAAAATACAAGCTTACGTTCTCTGAATGTGTGAACTGGTCTCTGAGGAGTCTATGAAACACGGAAACTCATCAGAGCTTAAATTACAAGACACCACGCCGTGTTTCCCAAAACAGAGCAGATGTGAGAGTTTTGCTGAGGAAGTGACAACAAACTAGAGACACTACAGAAGAGAAAGTTACATGCGAGCTTCACAACAACATTCCTGCAGTAACTCGATAAAGCCGGAACGGCGGTGAGGACCAGCCATTTGTTTGCAGAACAACAACATAGTGTCTGCAGCCCATTTCCTCTTAATAAGGGTGGCAACTGTGCACACTGTGAGGAAAAGAAGGACATTCTGTGGATCGCAGAGCACAGCTAAATGAAACTTGTTAGCAAAGACCACAGACATAAAGACAATGTTATAGGCTGAGAGAACAAACTAATAACTATAAAACTTGTGAGAGACCATGCTAAACATTGAATGCATGAACTGAAGCATTTACATGGATGAACTATTCACAATTACATAAATATGTATTTAGAAAATAAATTGGGTGAATTTCCTTTTCATGTCAGCCTGCTGGTTGTTAAAAAACAGCACACATTGTCTTATACCATATAAGCCATGTAAAAATGCACAGTGCAGAAAAGTTTGGAAATGCCCAAGGCAAAGTAGGGTTTTTGACAATATCAGTATAAATTCGTATCATTTTGTATTTACTTTGCATTTATAAGGGACGCCACAAACTCCATCCAACCATTCTCCAAACTGCTTGATCTATGTAGGGTTGCAGGGAAGTTGTGTACTACTAACCTTAATTGGCAATCAAACTGTAAATCAATAAAGTTGTGCTGAATCTTCCAAAAAAGAAACCTGGGCCACATTTAATCTGATAATCAGGCATCACAACTGCCATAAAGCCATGTCTAACAGTATTTTTTATTATTTAATAAAAAAATTAAAGTATTAATGCTATAGCCTTCAATAATCATTTAAATAACAATGCATTTTAGCCAATAAATGGTAATAATTTATGCTGACCTTTGACTAATAACCTTTGGCAGTCGTGGCCTAATGGATAGAGAGTTGGACTTGTAACCCGAAGGTTGCGGGTTCGAGTCTCAGGTCCGGCAGGGATTGTAGGTGGGGGGAGTGAATGATCAGCGCTCTCTTCTACCCACAATACCATGACTGAGGTGAGACCCTTGAGCAAGGCACCGAACCCCCAACTGCTCCCTGGGTGCCACAGCATTGGCTGCACACACACCAAGTGGGTTAAATGCAAAGCACAAATTCTGAGTATGGGTTGCCACACGTCCCTTCACCTGAAACTGTTCTTGCCATTATTTCAGAGTACACAGTGTTTTTAGTGCACATTGAAACGCAAATTTTATTCTGCTATGTAAGTACACACTGAACAATCAGATAGTTTCTGCATTCATTAATCAGCTGCAATTTTCAGCTCTTGGTTTAATTAACAGGTGTGCATGCATTGGGAGAGGACCTGTGAGAGAGCAACTGAACAGGACAAAGACAGATCAGTCCTACTTCTGTACTCTGACTCTTTCCTACAACTTGATGAGTACAAGTTATGATGTTGTGACTATAATTCAAAAAGCATGTTACACCCAGATCCTTCTACCATTGCTTAAATTATGCAAAGTGAGATAAAGAAAGAGGGAAGGAGGGAAAATGAAAGAAAGAGAGACAGACAGAGAGGTACACCAGATCCACATGTGCTGTCATCATTGTGCCTAAAATGGGTACGGTTACATAAAGTGTCTATTTTTAGCAGCACACTGACTTCAAAAGAAACTGCTGCTCAGCTGGTATAGAAATCAGAAACAGTGGGATTTACTTCTTCACTCCAAACCTCTTCCTCCCACTGTTATCTCTCCACGTCTCTTGTTTTCTCTCTTTATCATTTTCTGTTTTATTGAGGTAATATTTATTGATCAGCGAGCCTTTCTGCCATTATATTTGTGGGCTTCCAGGAATGCTCGGTTGTTTCCTCTCACTAACACACACACACACACACACACACACACACACACACACACACACACAGCATGGCTGGCACTCTGTCTAGACTAGCTCTTATGTTACAACAGGATAAGACATATATTATTCATCTGACATCTATTTATGTTCTCAAACATTTTTAAAGTCATGGACAAGGTCTTTTTCTTTTTAAAAATGTTTTATGATATATAATATCTTTTATGATATTTCTTAGTCCTACTATTCACTACATGGCATTTTAAACCATGAATTTATGTATTTGTGCAGCGCTTACGGCATTTTTATTCTAGCAACCTAGTGTTAATATATTCTGTGATATTCCTGCTGTAAACACCAGCTCAGACCATCCAGCATTGATTGCGATGCTGGTCCAGGCTGGTTTATGTTGGTTTGGTGGTGGTCTAACTAGTGGACTAACATAGTCATGTTGTTTACCAGAACAATGCTGGCCATCTTTATTGGGATCTATCATATATCTTGATAATCTATCAAGGTTCAAGCCCCACCCACATCTGAATATAAAAAAGATTCTATTTTTTAGATAATATTTCATATAGAAATATGGGCCAAAGGTTTCCAATTTGGGTGTGAAGACCAATAAAACATGCTGTCACAAGTCTCAGAGAGAGAGAGAGAGAGAGAAAGACCAGTCAGAAGAGAAAATGAAA